TTTTTGACGACCTGTTATACTATGGCCATTTTTGGACATTTTTGACGACATACTATACTGTAAAGATTTTTTGAAGTTTTTGACGACATACTAAACTATGACGTTTTTATGATGATATACTATACTATGGCGATTTTTGCACATTTTTGACGACATACTATACTATGATGATTTTTTAACATTTTTGACGACCTATTATACTATGACCATTTTTGGACATTTTGACGACATACTATACTATGGCCATTTTTGGACATTTTTTACGACATACTATACTGTAATGGTTTTTTGACGTTTTTGACGACATCCTAAACTATGACGTTTTTATGATGATTATGATGACATACTATACTATAATGATTTTGTAATGTTTTTGACGGCATACTATACTATGATGATTTTTTGACGTTTTTGACGGCATACTATACTATGATGATTTTTTGACGACTATGATGATTTTTTTTTTTTTTAAGATATTTTTTGGGCCATTTTGCCTTGGATGGACAGGACAGGTAAGCATGGGGGGCGGGGGGCGGGGGATGACATGCAGCAAAGGGCCACAGGCTGGATTCGAACCCGGCCCGCTGCCGCAACAGCCTTGTACATGGGGCACCTGCTCTACCACTCAGCCACTGACGCCCCATAGTATGATGATTTTATGACGATTTTGACGACATACTATATTATGACGTTTTTATGACATTTTTGAATACATACTATACTATGACGTTCTTAATGATGTTTTGTTGACATAATACACTATGACGTTTTTTTATCAGGTTTTTACGACATACTATAGTATGATGTTTACATGACGATTTTGACAACATACTATACTATAAAAAAATTTTTGCGTCATTCTATACTATGATGTGTTTCATAATGTTTTGATGACATACTACAGTGTGACGTTTTTATGACATTTTTAATGACATACTATACTACTATACATATATAGTTTTTGTCATTTTTGACGGCATACTATAGTATGACGATTTTTATCATGTGTTTACGGCATACTAAACATGATGGTTTTTTTTATGTTTTTAAGACATACTATAAAATTACGTTTTTCTGACATTTTTG